ACCAGGATCTGGGAAGGGGCCATGGCTGCTGCCTTGCAGTTTCTTGAATGCTCTGAGTCACAGAGAAATGAAGAGGGAACATACACAGAAAATAAAAGAGGGTCAAAGTTTAACATGGGAGGGAAGAAGTGCTGGCCTGTTAAAGCAGTACCTTGGAATCAAGCGTCTCTGGTGATATACAGTAAAGTTCAACTTCATAAGGTGAGGATGTTGCAACTCAGAATAAAAGCTGGCAGAGGACACAGGCAGTCACAAAACAGTGGGTAGAGCCAAGTGTAATAACGCCAAAGTTTAAGTAAGTTATTAAGCATATGACTAGAAAAAAGCATCCAAATTTTCTCTTACATTGTTTCTGTCACTGATTACAATGCACTTCTGCCATTTACATTGGCTTAAGCCTTATACACAGAAGCCTGCACAGATCACCAGGCCCTGCAGCACATGTGTTCCACAATTCACCCTTCCTACCTCCAACAACATTCTGTTTATTGATCAGAGTGCTTCCTTTTTAATTTTTAACTTCAGTTCAAATGCCTTTCCGCATAACATTTTTTTTACATTCTAATAGTTGCAGCATTTTCATTTGGAAATGATTACTTAACAGAAAGGTTTGCTGAGTTTAAAGCAGAGCAAGGTGCCTGCCACCATTGCAGAGGCATCTCAGGAAAGACAGAAATGCTCTGGGTGAATGCAAGCACCACAGAGAGACAGTGAACAAGTGCTTTCAAGCATTAGGAACATCAATGCACATCTGCTGATGTTCATCACTACGTACTTCTCCAGGTACAATGTCAGATACATGCTCATTCGGGAACCTTGAATATAAGCCCCTGAAAGGTAACAACAGAGATTTTAGTGATAAGCAAAGTAATGTAGTTTGGAAGGCTTTTTCGTTGTTGTTATAAAAGGAAATACAGATTGTGTCACAATAGCCACAATTAGCCCTAAGTCTAAGGAGGAAGTGGAAAATGCTCCCCTGTTTAGCAAGAGCCAAGAAAACATTCAACCCACACAGATGACCACCCTGGCAGGGTGTGCACTGGCCTGCAAGGCTGAAGTCACCCTGCCAGGATGAGGTTTGTGCAGTAAGGCTGAGTGTCTGGTGCTGTGCCAGCACCTCCAGCATGTTGTTCCTCCTGGACAACATGCTTCCTCCTGGACAACATGCTCGATCACATAAAGAATGAGAATGTGATCCGAGACAGCCAGCATGGCTTCACCAAAGGAAGGTCATGCCTAACTAATCTTGTGGCCTTCTATGATGGAGTGACGGCATTGGTGGACGAAGGGAAGGCGACCGATGTCATTTACCTGGACCTGAGCAAGGCCTTTGACATGGTCCCCCACCACATCCTCATCTCCAAATTGGAGGGAAGTGGATTTGATGGGTGGACGACCCGATGGATAAGCAATTGGTTGAAAGGCCGCAGACAGAGGGTGGTGGTCAATGGCTCTATGTCCAGGTGGAGGCCGGTAACAAGTGGTGTCCCCCAAGGGTCTGTCTTGGGACCGGTGCTCTTTAACATCTTTATTAATGACATCGATGAGGGAATTGAGTGCACCCTCAGCAAGTTTGCTGACGACACCAAGCTGAGTGGTGCGGTTGATACGGTGGAAGGAAGGGATGCCATTCAGAGGGACCTCGACAGGCTGGAGGGCTGGGCTCGGGTGAACCTAATGAGGTTCAACACGGCAAAGTGCAAGGTTTTGCATTTGGGCCGGAAGAACCCCAGGCACCCGTACAGGCTGGGAGGAGTGGTCCTTGAGAGCAGCTCGGCAGAGAAGGACCTGGGGGTCCTGATGGACGAGAGACTGAACATGAGCCAGCAGTGCGCTCTGGCAGCTCGAAAGGCAAATGGGATCCTGGGCTCCATCAGGAGAGGGGTGGTCAGCAGGGACAGGGAGGTGATCGTCCCTCTCTACTCGGCTCTTGTGAGGCCCCATCTGGAGTACTGTGTCCAGGTGTGGAGCCCTCAGTACAAGAAAGACATTGAGATTTTGGAAAGGGTCCAGAGGAGGGCGACTAAGATGATCAGGGGGCTGGAGCACCTCCCCTATGAGGACAGGCTGAGGGAGTTGGGCTTGTTCAGCCTGGAGAAGAGAAGGCTGCGGGGTGACCTCATTGCAGCCTATCAATACCTGAAGGGAACCTACACCCACGAGGGGAGTAAACTCTTCAAAAGGGCTGACAACAGCAGGACTAGGGGAAATGGATCGAAGTTGAAGGAGGGAAGATTTAGGTTGGATGTTCGGGGGAAGTTCTATACAAGGAGAGTGGTTAGGCCCTGGAACGGGCTGCCCAGGGAGGTTGTGGATGCCCCGTCCTTGGATGTGTTTAAGGCCAGGTTGGACAGGGTCCTGGGCAACCTGATCTGAATGTGTGTGTTTGGTGGCCCTGCTAGGCAGGGGGGTTGGAACTACATGATCCTTGAGGTCCCTTCCAACCCGGGTGATTCTGTGATTCTGTGTGATTCTGTGATTCTGTGTGCCAGCTGGCACCACCATCAACTGCCGGCAGAACTGGGAGCTCACCCAGGAAGAACGAAATAATCAGGTTAAGAAAATAAACAACATAAAATGTACCGAGTCAAATCCTGTAAAACTACAGCAGTCCAGGCTATAGATGGCCACAAGCAGTGTAAGAAGATGGTTATACTGGAATTCCCTCTATTTTTCACACCTCTGTTCTCCCCCTTTCCCCAATTCCTGCTACTACATGAGGAGAGAATTTACATGATTACTTACCTTTAAGAGAGAGAACACAATTTGGTGCCAAATCAGTTCAGCTGTAGGGACAGTCTGCCTTCACAACACAGTCCTGCTCCTTTTCTTGAACTAAGAGAAACTGCTTGGAAAATGACTCTTCATTTGAAAAGTTAATTGTTCTGTGAAAAAACTTGCGAGAATGAATATTCCTTCAACCAGGAAATCACTGCAGAGCAGCAGGAACAGGCTGTGAGCTCAGTAGCCCCTCCTATTTTAACCACTGCACATAGTTGTGGTGCGGCTCTGAAACAGGATACCACGTCCTGTGGCAGAGATACACATGCTGAGACGCTGTACCTTTTCATGACAAGCAGTGTGTCTTCCACCTCCACTATATCAATTGCACACCGTTACTATTTAATACAGCTACAAAGTAAAATCTTATTTTTACCACATCATTTTATTCAAACGCAAAGCATTTTACGCCTGCAAGTCTAATTTTTTTTATTATTATTATTTTGAACAGATTAAATGCGAACAATGTTGTTTTCTTTCTTTTTTTTCTTCCAAAAACAAACCTGAAAAATAAGCTGTAGAGTTTACATCATATAAAAATCTTAGCCAGTACACACAAAGTAATCCAGTGCACCCTCTTGGCCTACACATGGGTAAGTGCATCTGTTCATGCTGCTAACTTGTGCCAACACCTGCATGCAGCCTTGACACATCAGTATCAGCAACCATTTCATCTGGGAGACTGAAACACCCTGTGAAATTGCTCCTTTTCAGGATTTTTATTATAGCTCCACCTAACTGCTTAGAAAAGGTGATAATTATCAATAGTTTTGTGGAACAGAAATTTTCCACATTGTAAAACTGTATCCAGGAAGATCAAGTAGCCTCCCACAACTGCAATTTAGGGCATGGCATGCCAACATATTACACAGTGCTGAGCTGACCATCTGATTTTGAAGCAACATTCTTGTTTTCTTTTTACAAGTAGATGATCACTTAAAAGTTCAGCCACCTGCCTTCAAAGTTTTCATTACTCTTACCTGGTTTAGGAAGGAGCTTGCTCAGATATGTGGCTGAACAGTGTTGTGGAACTGACTTTGATACATCTCCCTAAAATAATTCAGATGGTTAAAAATCTTTTGTTGTTGGGCCAGTATCCTCTATTCTGGGTCTGGATTTCATGCTACTGAAGTCAACGGGATTTACTTCCCCCAGTGGGATCAAGGTCAAGTCTATGACAATTCTAAGCTATCATACAAAAACAGGCACAGAACTGTCCAGCAGAGTAATTCATTTTGTTGCAAGATGAAGTACACAAATCAATGTGTGATGACTATGTTGTTAGGGCAATTTAAGAAATAATTTTCATTATAATTATGTGTATAGGCATTAATTATAATCAATTAATATTATAGTTAGTGCCAGAGAAACAAGCAGAATCTTAAGAGCGTCTGCAGTGATATCGTGGTGAAGCTTGGAGCATGCAGAGAGTCCTTTTCATACCATCTCCCAACGAGCACTACATTCAAAACTGGCTAGGACGTACCAGACCAGCGTATCAGAGGTCCATCAGTTAGCATCTAGTTATGGAAAAGTAAAGAAAAAAGGAACATCAACTAAGCAGTATTATTGTATGACAAACACAAAATAATATACTCATTAACGTTGACCTGGTTGAAAGATGTCTTAGAAAAAAGACATAGCAATCTGTGTGAATGCAATGTGTATGAATCACTCATACGGAGTTGCTATGCCTAAATAGAAACCATACAATATTTCTGTCTTGGGAAAGATTTTATTCTAAGAGACTTAGGTGGACATACAGGCTGATCTGTGAATTTTCTATCAGTCCATAAGAGTTCCAGTTATTCGGTCAGGGGTTGAGGGATTTGGATTGATCAAGAGGCTGTACAAATTCAACTAGCAAAACCAGACAAACAAAGCTGCCTTGAACTTGAGCTACTTACTGAAATGGAGGGCACTAAATTCCATGTCTTGCAGTGCCTTTTTAATCATTCATACTACATGACTGACAACTCCAAAGGGTATCTTATTACCTCAAATTCCCCAGGGGCCAGCTGCACACCACTGTACAGCTTGTAGAAAGATGTAGTCAGTGCCAAACATGCTGCTGAAGGAGAACATGGCAAACTTGGTCTGTGTGGTCACTGCCAGCTACCAACACAGGCTCAGTTCTATGCTCCTACACTTCAGGCATGCATATCTGTGCAGAAGAGGATACAGAAAAGCAAAAATATCAGTCAGCTTTCACAAAACAAGAGCTGTAAGTTGATAGTAAGAAAACATACAAAAAGATAGTAAGAAAGGTACAAAAATCTAACACATTAAAAAAAAGAAGCCTAGCAGAAAAACTTAAAATAACCACTATGCTGACAAGCCATGTGGATATAAACATTATATCCATATTTAGTTTCTTCATTTTGAAAGATAATTATGCATTAGAAAAATAACATTAGCACAGTGGTAAAATCCACAGCAGAAAATATCTCTCTCCTGTGAGAAGAGCATCCATATGAAATCAGTGAGAACTCTAACATCTTCTCTCCCTTTCATAAACATACAAGAGAAACCTTAGCATGTTAGAGCAAAGATCAATTCAGGGTCTTGACTTTCATGACTATGATATTATCGTAATATAAACAGAAAAATGAAATCAACATCATTCATGTTAACATGTCTCATAAAGTCGTTTTGAAAGAGGCCTAAAAATGCCTCTTCTTGAACCTCCTCAATCAAAAATGGGACAAATACAAAGGGTCTGTAAATAGAATATTCCAACCTTCCTGCTGTCCAAATAGAAAACTATTACCTGCAAATAATACTCTCTTTCAACAACATGTGCCTATCAAAGGCACCTAGTACATGAAATTTCATCTTCCTGCTTCTCTGACATCTTGCAACTCAGGTGGCAACAAAGGTCCTTCTGGCAAATGGAATGATTTCCTTCAGGTTGAGTTCAGTGATAAATAAGAGAATGTGGTACACAACTACGCTGAAATAATTCTCATTTGGTGGAAACTGTCTGATATTGCTGTCATACAACTTCCAGTCAACAGCAAGATAGTCAGGACACACACACACACAAAACCAGTAAGCTTTTGATCTGAAAGAAAGCACAAGTAAGCAGACTTTTCTAGCTAAACATGTCTACTGTACTGTTCTGAAACTAAATCAGGTCTGCACAAACTATAGTCCTGATCTAAAGCTTTTTTGCTATCAATGAGAAGTAAAAGGAACTCTGATGTTTCTTGTACTGTAAGTCACAAAATTAGTACACTATGCTGTAAGATAGGATTTAAGTAGTTGAAGATGTACGTTTCTTCTTAAGTTTAGCTCCACTAGAAATCCACTAGATCCACTTGAAAAAGGAGTACTTCTGATTAAAGTGAACACTAATGTTATTGAGTAAAAAACATTACCTGTAAAGAATTAAATTACCAAAAGTCACATTCCTATGCAAGTTCTTCATGTAAATGTATCTTTAAAGCCAAGAGTAAAACTACCTATAAACAATATGAGTTGTCTGGCTTACAGTCATCAATTACTGACAATAGATATAGGTTGTATTTGCTTTTATTTCAAGGGTAATTTTTAAGGATACTTTTTAGCAGAACCAGTAAGTTTCTCTCATTCTGGAAACGTTAAATCTGTGCTTTACTTCTACCATCCTTTCAAGAAAACTGTACAGTGAAGAGCCTGCAAAGAGAACTTTCTGTAGTTTACCAGACTCTCAGGAGCATTGCTTAGCACTATGTTTCCACCTAGTGGAGAAAAAAAGTTTGGGCCTTAACACGAACAAAACATTGATGAGCACCACTTCTGTGAGTCAGAAGATGAAGAACCAATCACACACATGAAATCTCAGGAATTATCACTTTAAAAGGCACCAAAGGTACTCCAGCTATCTTAAACATTTCTGAGTTGCTATATATCACATTTTGATTTCCTCTTTATTTGTAGAAGTCTTAATCCTGTTTACATGTGTATGTATGCCCAAAAGTTATGGGTATTTCAGCTCAGGACAACGGTTACAAATATATAAATGTTTTCCTTCTGAACAAGATAAATATCATATTACCTTTTGTATCCAAAGAAGAGTTGTGTGCATTTGCTGAGAGAAAACTGACATGCATTCCCATACCTGAGTGAAACTGGATCACCAACAAAAGTGGGAGAGTTACTAACAGAAGCAGTTGAAAATAGAATGTTGACAATCTGAAATGTGCTCACCAAAACCATAGCTGGATTACAAAAGAGTATGTCTGAACAAGTGAAGATGCCAAAGTATCCAAAGGATGCATTGGAAGTCAAAAATTCTTGATCATTTGGGCAATTAAACTGTTTCTGTCACAAAAAAGGGTGTATTGTTTGTTGACAGAAAAGTATAAAAAAAAATAGAAAAGGAATCAAATGGTTGGAATCAATAATATTAATTACAGCATTCATTCACTTAAATACAAGTAATTGAGAATATGTTTTGTGCACATGTTACTTAATTTTGAAAAGGAAAATTCAAACCATTGCAAGAGGAATTAAGCACAAATATCTGCGATCCTGATTTACAGAAGTGAAAGAGATTTCTACTTAGCAGGAGTTCAGGACGTTAAAGTTTTAATGCTTCATGCTACTTCCTACTGATAAACACTAAAAATAGATGGTCTTAAGAGTTTTGATTAAATTTCATTTCATTACTTGCTATCAATTAAAGAATAGCAGAAGTGAAGGTATCTTAAAGGAGTGACTTTTCCTTGCTGATGTCTGCTAAATAACGACTCTATGTACAAGTACACTTAAGCCTGAGAAGTAGCCTTTATTCCACATTTTTCATTACCCACGTATCATCCAGTTCCTGAACTTCATAGAATTGTTGTACCTTGTGATAACAAGCCACCAGTTTCCTTTTGGAATCAAAGACAATGTTGGTATTGTACGGGTAGTAACCATCACTCTTGGTTACCTTGGATCACTGAACTTACACGGCTTCTGGTTCCCCATATTCACAACCACGTAGATGGAATAATTCCTTGCCAGCACAGGCAGCACAGCTCAGTCTTTTCTGTACTGGTCAGGCAAATCAGCATGGAGGGAAGGAAATAAGACATCAAAAACAGTATAAATGCCAAAACTAAAACTAAAGACCACTAAAATAATCAGTTTAGTTTAGTTTAGTTGCTTTTCATACAATTGTTTTCCACTGTTCAACAGGAGGCAGCGGTTTTGTGTTTCAAAGCTTAGAATGCTGAAACTCTGGCTTTATCTTAAATCAAATAACTGAGGAACACAGCAGTTTCCTCATAGTGAAAGTTAATCTTTGCACCTTCTAGTTCTCTTTTTTGCTGCTGTCCTGTAGAACAATGATGTGACCTTGACATCTGAGGAGATCTTAGCATTCTGCTTCAGCTCTTGATTCAGCTGCTATCATGATGTAGCTCAGAATTTGTTTCTTCTACATTGTGCCCCATTATATTTCATAAATTCAGAGAATCTTAGTGCCACCGGGCTGGAAAAGACTTTCAGAATCATCATGTCCAACCATCAACCTGATCTACCAGGTCTCATCAATAAACTCAGTGCACCGATCACACATCTCTTCAACACTTGAGCCGTTCATTCCTACGCTTGAACACCCTTTTCCATGAAGGAATACTTCCTCATGTCCAGCATAAACATCCTCTAGCACAACTTGAGACTGTTTCCTCTTGTTCCAACGCTTGTTACCTGAGGAAAGGAGAGAGAAGCCATTCTCACTGCAACCTCCATTCAGGCTGCTGGAGGGACCAAAGAGATCTTCTCGCAGCCTCCTTGTAAGCCACTAAAAATGGTACAATTTATTAAGGAAAAATAAAACTTGAGCTTCCTTCCCTTTATAATGCAGTGATGTCAAAAAGAACTGGGTCAGAACAATATCACACTTTAATTTGAAGGAAGTAAAATATGTTAACATTAAATGGCCATTATTTCTTTTATATAAATCTTGACCTTCATGAGCATACTAATACACACACAGAAAAAGAATTAAAGTGAAAAAGATTTACGGAAAAAAAAAAAAATCTAGGAAGTTGTCTGAAGCTATCTATGGCAACTAACAAAGTCTAAATTCTCTTCCTCTAACAGTTGCCCCAAGACATTTTAAATGATATGCATAAGCAATCCTCAATGCAGTTGTTTTTCTCAACTGTACTGTTCCCCTTCTGTAGCAAAGATTATACCTTTCAGAATCAGTACATGGAATGCAGTCCACCTGGGGGTCTGGAATATTCTCAAGATAAGCATATACTGTTCTCCCCATGAAGACCCAGCCACAAATACCATCTTCAGGAGTCACAACAATACAGGCACCCTAGTATTGACACAGAAAAACAAAAGACAACATCTCCCCCCCTCTCCGTAGTTGACAAGCATTTACCAAAATGAATGGCTCTAATTAAGTCATAATACCTACCTGCTGCTTCATTGACAGCCGCTTCCAAAATATCCATATTTCTGCCATCAACAACAAGGCCTCCTCAGGAGAAGCAGACATTTCTCTGTCCTCTGACAAGTGCACACTGCTTGTAGGCAGCTGTGACATTGCTGTCTGAGGCGCAGGCATCAGGAGCAGACAGCACCAAAACCACAACAAAGCCATGAGACCTCAAGCCCCATACCTGAAATCTGAAGTCACCCAAGAGGAGGACAGGGGCAAGCAAAGACAGGGAACTTTAATAAGAAAGGTCTTGCAGAAACCTGTGAGTTCCTTGAAGTGTTAGGAAGTCGACACCATGCAACACAATCCCCATGTCCCAAAAACCTCACAAAACCAAAGGTCAGAGAGTTGCGAGCATTGAGCAATCTGATAAAGAAGTCACTGCTGTGCCGCAATTGAAGAAACACTGCTGGCCAGATTAGCGAACTATTCAAACACATCATTGCTGTGGGAAGGTAGGTTAATGTAAGCCCAGGTCACAGCAGAAGAAAGACAGTTTGGGAAACCTGAGGAAAAAAAAAAAAGCACACGCAGATCTAGTAGGGTGTGGGCAGGGAACTGGCCCTGAGGTCAGCACTGCTGTTTGGATGCTAATGGTGCCACCACCAGCTCAGCACTGCTCCAAATGAGTTTACTTATGCATGGTATTTATTCACAATTTTAGACTGTACGACTACACTAATAAAGCAAACTGGGTATTTAGACCTGCCATTGGATGACAGAATAACAGCACCAGACATGGGAGCACTCAGTTTCCCATAGGAGATTCCACTGCTCTTCAACCATAGTTCCTGGACTCCTAGATAATCACAGCAGGAGGTTTGAGAGCTAATCTGAAGAACAGATCTGGAAACCAGGACCTCAGTTTAGGTTGTGGGGTTGTTTTTTTTTTTTTTTATTTTTATTTTTTTTAACTTCTACTGCAAACATGAAAGAAGGGAGAGAGGAGGAGATGTAGTGCCAGACCTGTTAATTTTCTACTGTTTCTACTGGACAACTGGTGAAGCTCGTGGGCTGCAGGACAGCTCATTACTTTCAGTGACATTTGTGTTCTTGTAAATCCTTACCACTTCAACTCCTAGCAGCACAAATCAGGTAGGAAAGCGGGTGATTTCTCAGAGTGAATGAAATCGCATTTCTATGGATTTGTACCTTGTACCCTTCGCATTTATCCCTAGTTTTCTCAGTTCCCTCTCACCTGCCTCACCCACAGTAAGGGCAGGACTGGCATTTTAAAACAGGCTGAGTGGTACACTCTAGATTTCAAAAAGATTCTAATACCAGACACAAACAGAAAGCTATTGCTTTTCTGCTTTTTGGCACCCTATTCAGCTCTCTCACAGCAGTTTTTCTCATTAGTACCCAAAAAAGGGCTCTGGCAGAAAATTTTTCATGTAAATTCCACTGGCTACTTACTACAAAAAAGTTGATGGCAAACCTAGGGGTAAACCATTTTCCTTATCTATGAGACAAATGGATAGCACAGAGTACCTCTTCTAGGGCCCAGTTCTGGGTTCAAAGACAAACTAAGACTCATGCCACAACTGAAGACTAAAAATCTAGAGTCAGTTTGCTAGGCATGTCCATATCTCAGTTCACATCACCTTTTGTGCTTAGTATCTAGGAGATTTTTTTCCTCTCTGTTGACCCTAGACTTCTGATAGACACACTTATTGCACAGGCAACTGGGACGAACACTGCAGCTGGCATTTACTAGCAAAACAGTTATCTCACAGACTAACCTAAGCTTCCATGTGTTAGAGGAATGTATGCGTACACACACACACACACACACACACACACACACACACACACACACTTGGAGTACCCCATCTCCTCCAAGACTGGAAATCAATTCTGCATGGAGATGCTTACTTCTCATTTTTAGGCACTTTCGTATATTGTAAATGCTAGCAGACACAAAGACTTTTCCTGTTCAAGAAAATTCACAGAACTTAGGAAAAAAGAAGTTGCTTTATTGAAAACAGCATTATGCTTAAATGCTTTGCCACTTCAAAATTCTGTTTCAAAATTTTACAGTGTCAGTTAAGGTATTACAAGATAGTCTTTCTTCTAAAAAAAGAATAGAGAAAAATCATAGTAGCAAAATAGTAGCTTTATCTGAGAGTAATGCACAGCAGGCTCAAGTACAGCAGCCAGACATTTAAAAATGCACCTCTTCACATACAGTGGTACACTGTATACGGAATACAATTAAACAGGCTGACACTTGAAGGTTACTCATCAGTGCAGCCAATCCATGTGAGGACTTCCAAAAGAAAGGCAGTCAGTGTTTAGTGTTTCAAAACAGTGATGCAGCTCCAACTAAACCACAACTGGTCATTCATTAGGGAGATCATGTATCCCAAGACCACAACAACAAAACACTGTTAAGCCCACTCACTTCAACACTAAGTTAAACTACAATAACAAACAGAGAATCAAACTCATTTCTGGTTATGTTTCACTACCCAGTAGATGAGTTCTTTCTTCATTATCACTAGGAGGGTTTTGCAGGCTGGAACTGGAGCTATTTGCAGAAGGAAAGGAATAGGAGGGGAGAAACAGGTTTAACATTCTGTAGATATTTCTATGTAGTACCAATATTATAACATAAAACTCACACAAAATATGGAAAGAGCTAAGTGGATCATTGAATTTGTTTCCTTAGCATTGTGCAGAACTACGTAGTACTACTTTCACACCCCTTGTCTCTACTGTCATAGTTCACAGATATCCTTCTGAAGGAGCCATCAGTGGGATTTAATCCTTAATATAACAGTAAAGTCCAATAATGTCACAGTAAAGTCCAATTGCACGTAGAGAAAAGGCAAGACCCAGTTCAGGTCTCTGTTTAGGTCAGTAAGGATTTAGTAAAGAATAGAGATGTATGTAAGCAATACTTTTACTGCTCATTCTGTCATTTAATATCAGATTGGTAGTGAAGAAGAAACAGAAGCGTGGCTTCCAAACATCTGCTTTATACAGCTTTAAGTAAAACAAAGAATAACTCCACATACCTTTTCCTTGTGGCCTCAGCAACATAAAATATTCCAATTGCAAGTCCCTTTGAGAAAATGGTCAGTTACAATCATAATAATAACAACCTTATGCAACAGCTCTTAAGTGCAACATATATGAAAAGCAAAACATTTATCACTTACACTTAACACTGCCCATCCTCCTTGGATGGCTGACGCCCATTCAAAACCCAGCTTTTCATTTAGAAATCCTCCTAAAGTGGGACCTACAAATGCCCTGTAACAAAGCAAAAAGAGGTGCAGATATCCCAAGTAAATAAAAGGTACAGATTGTATTATCTGCACAGGTTTTATTGCGCTTTGTGGCCTTCCTCCATTGATTCTTTCCTCATCAACAAAGAAGCTGACTTCTGCAGCAAGTATTAACTCTTTGTCACAGCCCCAGTAAATCTACTAAGTTGTCTCCTCAGCTGTAGACAGGACATACATTAGAATGCTAAATGCACTCTTTTCTGTATCCTGCCTGGCTTGGGGGCTCCATTAACTACAGTGTTCTAACAGCACCTACACAGATACCTTCTTCCATAAAAGAAATTTAAACCCTCATCTCTCAAAATTTAAACCATCCAAATCTGGAAATAGATGGATATAAGCAGGTGGAAAGGCACAGCGTGATGGTTATGGTTCTCATTACTGTGCTCACAAGGTTGAGCTGTATGTAAATCCTGGCTCCTCTGTGTCAGTCTAAGAACGCCATGAAAGGTTATGCAAAAGTCCTACATGATTCTGTCATTTGCTACAGTAAGGGATGAAGCTCTGTACAAGAAGAGATTTCCTGGAAGCCAGCCATAATAACAGCATGCTCAGCAGCAGCACAAAACTGAGTTTTATTAACTTCATACTGCATCTATCTGTACTGAACCCTGTACACCAAATAACTTAAGTGCTAGATGTCCTGTTTATCTTATAAAAATTGTGCAACTGAAACCCATCTGCAGCCACAGAAGACTACACAGACTGACAGAATATTGTGAAAGTGGCTGCCAACAGAGGGATTCATTTCTCACTAACAACTTTGGAAAGTTATTCAGATCAGTAGCATCTTTCACTCATTTCTGTGACAACCACTGGGTAAGAAATTCAGGAACACTGTGCTAAGCTCTACAAAAACAGACCCTGAATAATGGCTGTAGTCGAAAGAGAACAGAGTGTTCCATGCAGAACATAAAAAAAGGTAAATGCAGGAGGAGAAAAAAATTTAAAAAAAAAAAAATCAGTCTACTTATGTCTGTAATAAACATCAAAGGTTTCAGTGGCAACAAAAATAACCATTAAAGAGGGCAAACTAACACGCATTTAATCAGGGCAGGTTTTTTTATATGAAGGCATTTTAAAGGTAGACAAGTCCATTCCCTTGCAGGATAAAAGCCTTATTTCAACACATCCACTACACATTTGGCAAGAATCTCTTGAATGGAAGTCAACACAGTGACCACAATTGGAATTCAGCAGGTTTTCACATGGCAATAGTGAAGAACAACCAAACACTGTAGCCTATTAAAAAGTGACTGCATACATACCCAAGGGACCACACAGCATTAAAGAGCCCAGACACCAGCCCCAGTAGACTCAAGCCTTCTTCAAATCCATTTTCACTGCAGGGAGACAGCACAATTAGAGATGCACAACCATTACTGTGTCTCAGTCTACATCCTCCCCCTAAAATGGGTTTGGTGGAATTACATTTGTTTATCCAGTACTTTCTTTGCTGTTTTTCTAGAAGGCTGCAATGCTACTTATCTCTCATGTCTTCTTGGGCAGACTTCTAACACCATCACTCAGCCTCCATATTTCATACGGCAAGTGTAAAACAATGATAGGTGGCTTTTAAGAAGGAAAGACCTTGCTTCAAGGGGATCATACTTACAAAAGTAAATCAAGACCCTTCTAGGGCATTGCTGTCAAGCCACATCACAGACTTTGTACCTCAAGCAAGTGCAACTTGCCAGTTGTTGGCAAAATGCCAATGCAGACTGAAAATCCAGTTCACACTGTGGACTAATGTTCTTCAGAAGGTGAAATAAGTCCTATGTATATGAAACCACACACGAGTCACCCCTAATATGAGATTATAAGCCTATTAAGTGTGCCAGTAGCGCAGAAGTACACATCTACAAAAATTTACTTGTAATATGACTGTGTAAATGGGACACTCAGTCACAAAAATATAGGACAAAAAAAGTAGTGGAAGAAGCATGTAATTATTACTCACTGCTTTGGTCTCAAGACGGGAAAATAGCCACACCAAAAACCCACTTTGCATTCACCTCTGAAAATAAGTTACATCTTGAGCTTCCTACAATTAGTAGCATGGAAGATACACTGGACATTTACTTACTATGCACACTGCAGTATCTCTGGAAATATTGGGATAACACTCATTCCAAGAGAAAAGCCAAGGAAAACCAGCACTAGGACAAACATCCACAACTGACTGCAAAAGAGGCATTTAAAAAACAGCTGAAGATTCTTTTCAGATCAAGACACCATTTGACTGATTGCTGTTATGTCAAATCACGCTGATTGAACACAAAACTGACTTTCCTGAAGCCAAATAGAATTGTCCTAACACCTAGACTTGAAAATAAATCTTTGTGCTTTAAAAAAAAAAAAAAAAAAAAAACTTCAACAAAGCATTTTAGTGTTGCATGCTCAGTTTAAGTATTTCTCCATCAAAAAACAGCTGATTTTAAGAGGAATACACAAGAGAAGCGGTGGACAGATGAGCTTAATTTAGTAATACAACTACACATGTAAAACCCATAGTTAATGAACAGTGATGAAATTGAGAAGATTGAAAAATAAGACAG